AAGGGTGGTATTCTCTGAGATCTGGAACTGCAGCCTCTAGTCAACAGTACGAAAACAGCGGGTGCAGTCTTAACTTTCCATCAGTGAAACTGATAGAAACTAGAAGCATGAGTCATAAACTGTCTTTTGGCTGAAGATGAAATAAGTCTAAACCCAGTAAGCAAATCAATGCCTTGAATTCCTGGAGTGGAGGTTGCTTTCAGGTGACAAGTAGTTAATTGGACTAGCAATTAATAATAGACTAGAGATAGGGCAGAACAGATGTGCCTTGTTTGAAACCAAGCACTGGCACATCAGCATCTGCCTGGGGAACACCAGGCAGCCCAAGTGTAAATCCCTGTCGCTTCATCTGCTGTAGCTCCCACTTTAAAGGACAAGCCCTACCCTCTAGTGTGCAACACAGCTCCAGAGCTGTCTTCACATGGCCTGGAACCAGCCTGCCCTTGGCAGCACTGCTCTGACGGTCCCACTCTCTAGAGCAGAATGAGGGCTCAGTAGGTCCAGATTGAGCAAAGGCTGAGGTCCCTTAAAGAAAATGGAAGGAATCAAGGAAGTTTAAATGCACCAAACAAGATCTTGCTGCTTCCTGCTACATAAAAGGATCCTCCATCTAGTGAAGAGAGGAGCTGACATGGATAGTAGGAGAAAGAAACGTAATACTACTCTGGGAAAAAAAAAAAAAAACTCTCATGCCTTAGTGTGAAAAGTGCAACTGTCTGAAAGTACAGCACACGTGAGGACTTGCAGAGTTACTGAACAGTTTTCTGATCAGGAACTCAACAGTAGGAGAAGATGGCAGACTCAAAAGTTGTCTACGTAGTACTAGGGACCTTAAATACTGGAGAATCTCAGAAGTACTTTGAACTATTTTAACATCTTCACCCATACTGGTGTAGCACTTGTGAAAAGCCCAACACAAAATCTGGTCAGCTGGGGGTGGCATTCCCATGCATCATCTTTGTGAAATGTGCAAGACTGGACAAAGTGCATTTGATCCACTCTGTTTAAATAAATTTCAAGTTTTTAAATAGTTTTATTTACTATCCATCTTCAATTTAAAAACGTCAAGAAAGAGGATGAAACTCTTCCCAGAGGAGTGACTGCTTCTCCCAGATGAGGGTAGGTGGAAAGCTGCCATAAGGGCTGAAGCAGAGCGGGAGCCTCATGTTCTGTAAGCAAAGGCTGGCCGCTCTGTTCTGCATGGAGTCGTGGGCTCCCCGCCTGGTATTTGCAGTGACCAGGCTCATAGGGAGACCTCCTGACACAAAGTTGTCTTGCTTTCCTCCTGAACATGTAGCAAAGTACAGGTAGGAAATCAGGTAGGAAATCTTTCATTCATTGCTTCACTCCCATTTCTTCTTTTTGTTTCCCTTTTGCCAGTGGAGTGCAGAGACACCACAAGATATTGTGAGAAAGTGAAGCAGCTCAAGCTCTGCCAGCTCACCCAGTTCAAGTCACGTTGCTGTGGGACTTGTGGAAAAGCTTGAAGGCAAAAGAAACGGGGGGAAGAAGGGGATCAAAGCCTTTGCTTTGCTGTGGCAAGGACTTTTACAAGAAAATACAAAGGGGATGGAATTCATTTTTTTTTTCATTTTATTTATTTATTTCCCTTAAAAAAAAGAAAAAGAAACATTTTACAAAGTCATTGTTATAAAGGGACTTGACAAGTTTCCCATCAATAAATCTGGGAGACAGAATGTAGCAAAATACAGTCATGGTTGTAGATCAGGAAGAGTAGATGAGCCACGTGCCACCAGCAGGATGAGTCTGAGAAGAGTGGAGATGTCTCTGAAATCATGTACATGCCTGGAGAGGGATGGGGAAGCAGCTCTGAGTCAAAAGCCAGCGTCACACCAGACTACTGCAACATGAATCAAAGAATCAAACAGCTTGACAGATCTTGGGGTACTGGAGAAAAAGACTGAAATAAACGTTCAACTGTGCAGTTTGCAAATACTTCCTTTATCATAGTTTTTGGGGATATAAGCATATGATTTTGCTTCATAAATCTACTTGTTGCATCTATTTTTGGATTCCTTTTTTCTTTCGATACCTCTCTCTCCCTCTCATCCCTGGCCTTTGCATGATTTCAGTGGGAGACCCTGTAAGTAATTTTGAGGACCTGGCATCTTGTGTCTGAGGAAGTTAAACACTACTGTGTAATGCAGATGGATTTAAAATAGATCTGAGAAAGTTCAGTGAGGGCTGGGTGTCGGGGGATGGGAGAGTTGGGAAAGGGCAGGCTCCACCATAAAATAGTTTTAAAGAAAGGAAAAAAAAAAGTTTTATTCAGGAGAAAAGAATTATTTGCTACTGGCAGGCTGTAATGCAAACCTGCAAATACTGTCCTACACAGAGCACAGGCGGGAAAATGTTTGTGGTATTTTATGGCAAGAGAAGCTGCTAAACACAGCACACCTGACTACCACTCTTTTGGAGTGGAGAGCGGGGTGATACTGCTTGCCAGGGGCTGGGTCTTTCAGACCTGGGGCACAGTAAGGAATTTGAGGAACTGTTTTTTCCTGCTAATATGGACTTTTTCTGTCATGACAGCCAAGCCTTTCGGTCAAGGAGTAAAAAAGAGATGGTTTATGTTTTGTTTGGGCTCTCCCTACTAGGTAGAAACAGAATGGGTCCCAGAGGACTGATGCCTGGATTTTAAGAAACTCGCTGTTCTCTCTCTGTCTCCCAGAAGTACATTTAGTACTTCAGTACTAAATGCCCCAAAGTGATTTTTAAGCCCACATCCGACACCCTGCAGAGATGATCTAAGAAATGAGACTCACACATCACTCCCACAGTATGACTTTTCATGCTGTGTGTGAGTCTTCACCCAGACAGCCTCAGTGTCATCAGACAGTTCCACCCTTTTTGTTCCCAGGCAGCCCCTTCTCAGGGAAAGTCATCCTTTTTCAGCATTGAAATTCAGCATCCTCTTTTGATGTCAGTGTCAGGTTGATGGCATTAAACTGCCCTTAATTTGCTTATTCAAAAATGAACACTCTTCAAATGGGTCTTCAAAAAATAGTGTTGTTAAGCATCGGTTTAACTTCTTTTTATTTAAAAAAAAGAATGTCTTTCTATGTATGTGAAGTATATCTTCTGTGTATATTTATTAGGATTTCTTGTATAAAAAGTGCAATATTAATAAGTGTACATTATACTGTCCAGATAAAACTATTTTGGGAGTGGGTTAATCTTCCCAGAGTTTTGTTCCTCTAAAATCAATGGTAATAGTGTATTTCTCTTATTTTTAATAGCACTTGCATTTAACTGGGGATATGTTTCACTGTGTACAGACTGCTTTGTAAACTATAACATGACGGAGGGAGGGAGAGAGGGAGGGAGGGAGGGATGGTATTTTTAACTTGTGAAATGATAGTTATGCATAGAATGAAGGACAAATTTGTTAATAATAATGTGGTGGATATTTCCAGTACAGTAGTTAACAAAAAGGAGTATGGGGAAGTATTTACATTTGTTTAATAGCAAAACATAATCAGATGATCACATGTTGAATTATTAGCAGTTTAACTGTGCCTAGGATAAACATGAAGGACCAGATCCAGAGAGGCCGCTGTAGCCTTTGCACAGTATGAATGTAATTTCACGTGTCTGTCCTGTGATTTGTGGCTTGGCAGTATCTCAGAAAGATAAGAATTACTGACTATTATACAGAAGGAGGCTTTCCTTTCTTAAAAAATACAAACCAACAACTGTATTTATATAGTTTTTTGTACAGATAATGCAGCTTATTTATTTAACTACTGCTGTCTGATGTGTTCTTTATTAATCTTAGAAACAAAAGCCAACTGAAGTAGCAAAGTTTTTGCTATTCTCTGACCTTATTCTCTATTACAATAGCTGCAGACATCTGTTACATAAAGCGCCCAAGGCGCTCGCAATTTATTTTTTAAAAGTCTCCAGTGGCTGAGATTCTGCACCCTGGCTTGGTGATCTATTTTAATTCTTCATTAGCTTTCCTTTATCATTATGATTATCATTATCTAGGCTAAATTGCTCTTGTAGAAGTATAAAGCCATCCCAACTGGTCCTAGCACCATAGGGCTCAGTAAAAATGTATTCCTTTTTCCCATGTAGAGACCTACAGTGACTTTCCTCAGTCTCCTCTGCAATGAAGCAATCCTTGTAATTTCAGTTTTTTCTGAAGGTCCCCACTGCCTTCCTTAAAGGAGTTTGCAACTCTTTGAAGCATCCAATATGTACTTGGAGGAAGTCATAGACACAATCAGAGTTATAGCAAAAGCATGAATCAAGTAAATGCATTTACTCTTAACAAACACAAAACTGATTTTTGGAATCAGCTGATTGTGCTCCAGCCCTTTTCAGATAAACTCTATGTCCCTTCTAAAGTGAACAGTTGTTTTGCAGCCTATTGTGATGTTTCTACCTATGCTTTCTAAACACCTATATAGCAGTTGAAGAACACCTTGCAGATACAAGCACACACACAGGAATGCAGGCAAAACAGAAGCCCCAAGACTGCCAAACTACTGTATCCAAAACAGTGAGAATTCTGACGTTCATTTTGAGTGATACAAGCAAAAAAGCTGGCATGGCTATAAACAACAGGTCAACCTAGATTTCCAAGAGAATAATTATTCTCTTTTTATGGATATGGCTGTAGTTGTCAATCAAAGCAAAGAGCCTTAAAAAGACATCAAAGCAAGTTTCCAGTTTTGTTCTCCCTACTTATTTTCTTTAAGGAAGAAAAGTGCTTCTAAACAGTTGCACCACAGCCCCAGAAACACAGTGCTGAAAGATTCCCAACAGGGCATTTAGTCCAGCCCTGTGCTTTGTGGCAAGGTAAGCATGGTTAAGCCATTCCAAACATTTATATTTACTCTGCTCCTAAAACCAAAAACCAAGCTATTAGCAGAGTTTTCCAAGGTAACCTTTAGCTGTAATTTTTTTTTCTTACTCTACGACCTAAATCATATGGACTATAATGTAAGCTTAAAAAAAAAAAAAAAAAAGAAAAGAAAGAAAAAGCTTATTTCTTTTTTTGTGGGTAGACCGCTAACACATGTTCATTCTTCTTCTGCCTTTTGTGTGCAATAAGACCCCTTCTCTTTCTCTCTCCCTGTCCAGGCTTTAGTCTTCTGTTTTGTCCTCTGTATCATTCCTTTGGCTTTTCTCATACATTTTACTTTCTAAGTCTTCCCTTCTTTCTCTGAGTTGGCTGCATTCCCTCTGTTTTGGTTCCACAAGAGACACATATTCCAACTCCCAAACAGCACCAAGAACGTAAAAAATAATCTTGGATGTTTTGCAAACACCCCTCAGAGCAACCTTTCTGCTTGCACTAGCCTCTCACTTTGACATAGTCACTTTATGTATTTCCAGCACAGCTGCTGATCAACTACACCCACTTCTTCCGCTGCATGTCTTGATTTTTCTTTCTGGTCTGATGTTTTGTACTTGCTTTTACAATGTACTGGACCTCTCTCCCAGTCTATAAGCATTATCAATACATGAATCCTGATTTTTGCCATTAGCCACAGAGCTTTCTAGTGTCTCTTTATTTCAGCTTCTAAGCAGGTACGGTAAGCAGTAAAGGTAATAGTGAAAAAAGTCAGGCCTTTATGACATTCCCATTTTAAAAAGTTACTTTTCCATGTCTTTTTGGGGACAGGTTTCTCGACCTCTACTGTTGTTATATTATTAGTGAAAAATAATCTGGTGAATAATGATATGCTTTATGAAGATCATACCTCACTATATTGATGTTTTTACTAAAAAAATATCTATGGCTTCCAAGTGATCTTCTTTGCAAGTTATCCTATCAAAAAATAATAATACTAATTAAATGAACCCTTTTGGTGCCCAAAAACTAGTTCAAAATACACATGCTTATTCTATGCATCAGCATAGGCTGACAGACATCTCCGTTTGTAGCAGGAGGAGAAGCAGGCACTAACGCTTCCAGATTCTGGGATCACAGAAGTTTTCTTAAGCTTTTAATGCAGCGAGTCACAGATTATTCTTATATAGTCTTTAACATTCAAAAAGTTTCTGATGTTACACCGATTGACGTTATGTATAGATGGGTAACTCATATTTGCTAATGCTTTGTAGAGCTCTGAATGTCATCTGCAGACAATAACTTGGGAATCACAGGTTTAATCTTTTTGTCATCCTCCTTTTTGGACGTATGTGTGTATTTAACAGTAGTGTTAATTATTAACTGCCAGATGCAGCTTTTATTGGTAGAAATTAAAGAAATTAAATACTTCTGTTTGCAAAACAAGGTGGGCAGAAACAGTCAGCTGTCTTTTTCCTGTTGCTCTGACACACTTCTCGCTCTAGAGAAGGTATTGCTTTATTGTCATTTTCACCTGCACTGCTCTTCACTGTCAAGCAAATTGTTGTAGTTGATCGGAATCAAATCCAAAAGAGTTGTACATAGTAACTTTCCTAAAATTTTGAAATAAAATTCATACTAATGCATTTCAATACATAACCCCTAAGTTTATCGAGAGTCAGATGGAAAAAGTCAAGTCTTCCAAATCTTCTCCTTGTTATGATAACTACTTTTGTCCTCCCCTGACTTTTCAGCGAGCTACAGTCAATTAATCTGCAGTCATTTAACAATTTGGGGAAAATTTTACATGGAGCCATTGAGAAAACAGTGCATTTTATTTTCCATCTGTCATTCTGGAAAGCAAATGGGGGCTGAGGCACAAGTACTTTTGAATTGTACTTTGAATCACACTTGTATAACAAGAGTATCGTGCAGGAAGAAACACGGTTAGCGCAACATAAAATGGCTTCTCATTATTTAAAAAAAAAAAAAGGAAACAAAGTAGAAATCATCTGTTGTTAGAAATACTCAGGATGAAGCCCCATACCCTGTCACTGAAGTGGAACATGGATGACATCATAAATTAATGAATGAAAGTGTGGAATTTTTGCCACAATATTTCTGCCAACACCACCAAATATAACCACAAAAACAAACAGATAATTGGTTACCCATGCGAATCTGATGCACTGACAAAACATTACTGCCACAGCCTCTCTCCAAGGAGAAACTCCATCCGATCATGCTCTTTCCACTCTCCCTCTAAAGCAAGTGTCTCCTCCGGAAAGAGGGACATCTTCTGAGGAAGAAGAGCACCACATTTGTAGTGGCCAGTGTCTCCTGCACACAGCGTCAGTGAAGCTGCTCCTGCACAAGCACAACGCTTACATGACAAAAGCAACCCTGGCACCACAAAATGCTATACTGGAGGCCGCAGCCTTGGCCTGCAGGGTTACTCCACATTTTCCCTTAATAGCTAGCTAAAACTAAACTAACTAACTTCCTTTCCTGGCAGGCAGAAACCTCGCTTGGGCAACCTCTAAGGAATCAGAAATACATGAGCTTAAGCCCCACCTTCAGAAGAGAGCCCAAGGCTGGAGACTCCCATGCAGCCAAGGTGGAGAAGGGAAGTAAATTAGCCACCTGTGAAAGGGCTTAGGTTTTATATAAAACCCTGTTTATATAACAAGGGCTCATTACTCAAATCCTTAAACAGATTGCATGCCACTTGTGTGTGTTGCAGTTGTCTATCCTTCCTGCTAATGCACATGTTGGAAAAGAACACAAAAATAAACAACAAAAAGAAAAGAGTTCTCCCCAAACCCTTAAGCCCCATGCAAATAAATGTTTTGAATATATGCAGACATAAATTAAAGCGTGCAGCCTTGCATGGCTGAAAGGAAAGGCAGCACTGGAGGTTTGTATTCTGGCTACCCATAAATACTGTTTGCTTAGGCGGTGGCAGGATGTGAATGACTGTATAGTCAGCATTTACTTACCCACACATGGTTAGGATGACATGGGCATGGGAAACCACTCTCTACCACCTCCCTCCTTAGCACTGTAAAACAGTCTGCTGCTTCTAGATCTCACATTAGGTTTGGGTCTGCTTCTTTTACAAACCCCATAGGGCCAACAGCAAAGCACAAAAATAAAACTTGAACCGGAAAGATCATGCTAGACAAGCCGTGAACAACTCAATGTCCAAGCGAGGGGCCAGGATGTGTTTCTTTTCTTTTAAGGAAATTCCTAATGGTTGTGCTGAGAAGTTTGGTTTAGGCTGTAGCGAGAGCTCCTGCTATCCTTTTCTGCTTGTTTAAAACAGAAATTACTGGCTTAAATAAATAGCCCTTGAGGCTGATGGATGCTTGTTAAAACACTTCACCTACTGAAACACTGATGGAGTCAGTTTTCAACTAACAGCATTCAATCTAGTGACTTTATTACCAAAATAGAAAAAAAAAAAAAAAAAAAAAACCTCACTGTTGACCCACTACCTACAAATCACAGCAAATCAAACCCAGCTGTGCACAAGGAGGCCAAGGCTTGTAGAGCTGTGTCTTTGAGCCCGCATGCCACTGCTGGGCAGGATGCTGCAAGAACGTGCTTCTCTCGACTCTGAATTAACAGTCCGGAACAGTTCTTTGCAAGAGAAAACAGAGGGCTAGAAAGCTGGATGAGAGTATAAAATCAAACACATTTGTCTGTTTGAGAGCTATCCTTTTTCTTCCCTGATGAATGCACTGTAAAATATCTATAGGACAGATCCAGGGCTGGATTGAAAAAAAAAAAAGAAAAATCAGGCTGCTCCAAAGGAGCACTTCTCAACAAATCATCAAATCATAGCTTCTACTGCAAGAAAGAGGCAAAGAGAGACACCAGCACAATGCAGGCAAGAGCTTTTTAAAGAATACTACTCAGTTCAGTGAAAAGCAGACTCCACCCGACTTCAGAAGATACTGTAAGGAAAGCTTCCTATCTCAATGCAGTCTCTTTATAATTCTGGCCCAGGTGGCTCTTTCAAACTGACATGTCATTGATTATGTCAGGGCAATCCCCTCCATGTCTCAGGAAACTCATTTTTAGTCTCATAAAGAAAACATTTAATTTTTTTGAACGTTTTGAGTCCAGCTTCTTTCTGCCTCTGAAACAGCATGCCCAGGATTAGTAATGCTTCTGCCTGAGGTACGAATGTCCTTAGTCTTTGCTGACACATACCACTTGTCTTTCAACACTTTTGTCATGGCCCTGAAATCCTGGAGGTGCTGACAAGTCTCTCCTCTCACTGTCAATCTACCGCATTGCCCTCTTTCAGGAGTTTGCAGCAGTAAATCTTTTACAAACCTGCTGCCTGCTAATATTCTGGAGCACAAATATTTAAAATACTGATTTTTTGACATCTCGCCTATTGCCAGCTGTAAATCCTCTAGAGAGAGAATAACCCTGTAACCTGCAGACATAGGTGGTCTAGTTTGGTTCAACAGCTGACATCATGCAGATCAAAACTGAATGGGCTGATAACCTCCTTCATTATTCCAGACTAACTTAGTCTCTGTTAGGGCTGCTTTATTTTGGTTCTCTCTGAGGATGAGGAAATTAAGTATTTTTGCTTGACTTGTTCATAGGCCTTTAAGCGTCCTGGCTGACTGGATGTCTGTGACTTTTGGACCTTCGGGGAAGTTAGTTGCCCTCTAACATTTAGTTTGGACATTTCTCCTTAATTCAGCTTTAGTTCTTGAGATAGATAACAGATTTTGCTTTTCTTTGGAAATAGGGCTGGTAAGTTCTCCATTTGTCTTGGTGTCTTCAGGGCCAGAAGCAGCTTTCCTTGTGAGTGAGCTCTGGGGTGTGAGTATGGAGGACAACTGCTGCACACAGCTGATGGCTCTTGGCGCAGACTATAGTAACTGACACCAGTATAGCAAACTCCTCTGGCAATGACTGTTTTTGTCTCCTTGTCTCCTTTTTCGCTCTTTCTTTTGCTACTGATGTATTTGAAGGATTCCTTCCTTTTGTCCTTGACATCTCTTGCCAGATGTAATTCCCAACAGGCCTTAGCCTTGTTTGTTGCAACCCTGTATACTCCCACAGCACTCCTCTACTCCTCCCAAGTGGTCTGTCCCATTTTCTATATTCTGTATACCTCCTCCTTCTGTCTGGTATTGCCAGGAGCTCCTTCCTCATCCTCTTGCCCCCTAATGCAAAGCTCCAGTGCCTTCCTGCATGTACATTCTATGCAGAACTGACAGAATTGCAGGGTAATAAACACTAACAGGAAAAATACTGAATGAAAATAAATGTGGAATGAAACATATTTTTCTGTCCAAATTTGATGCTAAAGGCACAAATACTCCAGATACAAATACAGAATATATCATATGTCATTGCCTCACTACAGTCCTAGATTCCTCATTTTCTGAAGTCTATGTAGTCTACTGGTCATTTTGCATGGCATGTTCCATAGAGATTTTCGCTTTTTTTTCGTGCTGCAAGCCCATAGTGTTTGGTTGCTTATGTTTTGGAGCATATGTTTAAAGAGTCCTCTAGAGCTGATTCAAAGATTTCAAGAGATGCAGAGCCGTTAATTCCCCAGGGACATTGTTCCAGTGGTTACCTGCCCTCCGGATTAAACATTCACATTTCTAAATGGAATTTGTTTGGCTTTAGTTTGTGAATGTTTATGGAAGACTTCCATCCCAAAGGATTTCAAAGCATTTCAAACATATTGAAATGCATTTATACAGAAGACTGAATTACATCTGTTCTTTAAGTGCAGACACTTTGAGTGGGAAACATCATGTTCTTCACCCAAACCTACCAGCCATATCAAGCACTTGAGCAAAACACTCAGAATATAGCCACAGCTGACTGACTTACCATCATGGGTAAGAGATTAAAGGAAGTAGAATGCATTTCAGAAGTTGACAAGTAATCACTAATATAGCAGTTCTAAGCCTGCAGAGAAGCAATCTGGATGCAAAAATGAACAGCTCTTGCCAGGAACTTAATATTTCAACTTATCCAAAAGATAATACAAGTCCAGACGCTGCCTGAAATCTAGCATGTCAGCTTTAATCCCATGGCTTTTCTGATACCCTGACTGCATCTAGCAGTGAGTTTCCCATCAAAAGATTGAGCCTGTCTGCAATGTGATTTGTCAAGGTGGCATGTTTGGATGGCAGCCTTGCATCTGATTCTCCAGATCTGGGCAGCAAAGGAGCATAAATAATGAAAGTGCAAACCTGAATAGTCTTTAGACAATAATTTGTAGAGTTTATACATGTCTGATGGAAGGGTCTAATAAGGTCAACTCTCAGACTTCATTATGCAAGTGTTACTTATGATTTCATGGCACACAATTCATTTGCTAAGTTGTTATAAAATTGTCTTTGTAGTATGAATTCCTGATACAGCTAATAATAATATGTCTCACAAAGAGATATCTCTCTCAATTAAAGAGCAGGAATTAGATGGGGAAAAGAAAAGTAAACACAGACAACCAAACAACGAAAGTGTCTTCTATTTTCGTATTATGCTTTTTATTCACACATCTGATCCAAAAGAAGCCAGCATCTTCAGCAGAGATTATTTTTAAGATCTTTCTAATTACAAAATGAATTACTGTTAAAGGTGGTTACAAACAAAATAGAGCCATCTTTCATAGCTCTGATATGCTGGGGTTTTGAATCTCTTTTCAAGAGGGCTGCTTCCACTCTCTCTTCAATGTCCACCCACTGAGCATTCACCCTTGAAAACAGGTAGAAAGAGTTTGTGGCCAATTTCATCACTTCCTTTAAACACATAACCCGGTGGTTCCTTGTATGAAGCCAGGCATCTCGTAGTACGCTTTGGAGTATAACTGGTAGCATAGGTGGTTTTTGTCTCTAGGGGAGTCCAAGGCCTGGGCCCGGGCCAGCGAGGCTTGCAGCTCTGCGTGATGGAGAGTGGGTGAGGTCTGTAGTGGGTCTGAAAGGTAGTTGAGTAGTCAGCTGGTTCTGACGGGCAAGTCATCTGGGGGACAGGTACAATGGGTTTCGTTCGCTTGCACTGCCAGGGCTTATAGTCCTCCTTCATTGTGGAGGAGCTGGTAAATGGTTCAGTATTTTTTTTAAACTGGACCAAAGACCGACATATCTTGGCTGGCTGGCCATTTGGGTTCTTGTAGTGTAACTGAGTAGTGGTGTGAAGGTCCATTTTCTCCTCAGGAGGAACATATACAGCAGGTTTTTTGCTGAATAAAGGAGGCAGTGGCCAAGTTCTGTATTTTTCCTGAAACTCTGTTGTAGAAGAAAACGGAAGATCATGTTGAGGCTTTGACTGGTATGGTTTTGCCAGCTTGGCTGGCTCACCAGCCAGACCCTTGTAAGATATTTTGTGGGTGGTGAGGCCATCAAATGGGACCTCACTGGCCTTGTATTTCTCAGGTTTATGGACATAGGGCTTCTCCAGAGGATGCAGCACGTAATCCACTTTATAATTTGTTGCAGTTTCAAAGGGATCCTTGTTTCTCTGGACCTGATTCACAGGTTTGAAGCTTTTAGTATCAACTGGCCCCCTGTAAAGGTAATCATCCTGAACATGGGTTCTGTGGTCAAACTTTTCTTCTGATGGGCGGTAAGCATCATCTGGTCTGATCATCTCTCTCTTTGGTTCATTCCATAGCACATAGTCACCTGTAACATAAGAAGGATCCTATCTGAGAACTCAGTCAAAGCATAGAGTTTTTGGCAAGTTTAGGCATAAAATGTGTTTTCTTTGGTTATTATGTTTACTCCTTAAGTATTTGTTGGTGTTGCTGTGGTAACCAAATCCTGTGACACACCCAGTAGGAAAAAAATGCTCTGCAAGAGAATGCTAAGCCCACAACAGCTTTACATTTAAAAGAAAAAAAAATAAGGAAAAATTTTTGCCTTCCTATAGAGATGGACAGCTCAATTACACATTTGACAACAGGCAGAGCAGGTAGGTGGATGTGAATGAGTAAGATTACATACCTGCTGTTCCACCCCTAAAGAGAGAATCGAAAGGTTGCCATTGCTCTTTGTACCTTCTCATATGATGATGACCTGCTTTCTTGGCTGTAAAGATGGGTTGCTGCCTGCAATTGGCTGAGTTCAGTGTTTTACAGTTCATGTTGGTGGCTGCAAGCTGTGCTCTGTGACTTTTCTTCTGCTCTTGGCTTTGTTCTCTGACATACTCTTGCTACTAGTACAAGCAGGAGTCCAGAGAGAGTTTTTCACTCTATGTGCAATTTTTCTTTGTTAATAGCTTTATGACAGAGATTGGTGACCAGGCTTGTGCTGATCTGAAGCATTGTTCAAATCACAGACGTGATTCCTACTCCAGAAATTTCTCTATCTAAATTCACAACCAAAAAAAAAAAAAAAACTCAGAAGCGTTTTTGAAACACTCCCATCCTCATTTCTCTATGTGGTAGCACAGGAAAGGAGGCAATGAGAGTTAAAAGATTTGCACTCAGTCATACTACAAGTCTATGGCAAAGCTGCCTAACTCTCAGACCAGTGCTGCAGCCACAAGCCCAGCATTTTTTACTTCCTAGCAATCTTGTGCAACTTCCCCTAGAGACCATTATGGTTACTGGTAGGAAGCTGAAATGAAATAGTCTTGGAGTTAACCCAAGTCTTTTTTTTTTTTCCCTCCTTTCAAACCACATTGAGAGTCATGAGGCAAATAAGCTTCCAGCTGACTCTGCAAAGGAAGGAAGTCTGGAATTCAAAGTACTAGAGAGTAAATGATGCAATTAGGTATCAGGATATTTGAACTCTCCAATCCAAACAGTGTTACTCCTGTTGAATGGCTGTGGCTATGGTACTGTACAAACACAATTACACATAGGATATGTCCATTACAATGTGAAGTTGACAAATAAAAATGTCATTTTTTCCTCTAATTAGATGCCATTTAAAACCATTCTGATTTAAGTCCCTTTGCCTTGACACAAAGTAGCAGCTGAGCTGAGCCCACAGAGTCAAGGACTCCTTTGCAAGGTGGCAATAGGGAAAAAGAGACCTGCAGGCTGTGGGGGAGAGGGTTTCTGCATGCTGTGTCTGAAATCCTAGCCCAAACTGAAGTCAATGGCAAATATTCTAGCACCGTTGGGGCCTTCTGCTGCCCAAGCAGAAGGATGGCGTTTTGTGGATATGTGCCCTTGAGCAGAGTGAACTCCTCCCAGTTTTGGATCACCAGTCATCTTGCTGAGGAGGCACTCTGGCCCATCACCCGTGTCACCGATCACCAAGCTGAACAGCATTGGACCCACTACTGTCTCTGGGGAGTAACCGCTAGCTACAAGCTGCCCGCTGGACTGAGGACAACTCTCTGAGCTCTGCCATTCCATCAGCTCTCAAGCCACCTCATTGTCTGCTCAGCCTGCATTTCATCACCATCTCTATGAGGATGTTCGGGAGACAGCCTTGCTCAAGCCAACACGAGTGGCTCCCACCTCTTCTACTCAGCCACTCGTCTCCTCCTGGAGGCCTACAGGGCTAGGTAAGCATGATTTGCCTTTTCTAAACACATATTGTCCTCCTGAACATCTTATCCTTCACATGCTTGGAGACTGCATCCAGGATGAGCTGCTCCACCACCCTTCGAGGAATGAAGGTGAGACCTAAGTAGCCTGTAGTTCCTGGGCGCTCGTTTGTGACCATTTACAAGGCTGCAGGGACCACTGTTTTCTTCCAAACCTCAGGCATCTCTTCCCAATGGCCATGACCTGGCTATGACACCAGCATTTTGAGCATAGCCACAGCTTTTTCAATATACTCAAAATATGACAAGAAAGTTGATCTGTCTCCAATTTTAAAAATATACCAGCTCCACAGATTTGGAAACCTCATAGGTATTATGAATTTAGTTTACTCTGTGTAAGCCAGCAGTTCTCTCCCTTCAAAATATGTTACAATTTTACTGTAGTTCTAATTCTTCTCCCATAGATATTAATAGTTTCCTATGCAGCACAGTCTTGGAAACATTAGAGGGTACAGGAGGGAACAGAGGATATGAACCATATGTTATTGGAGGGTTAGACATATTTCATTATAACCAAGAAAGACAACAGTAAAATTAGATTGTATCCCTGCAGATGGGTAGAAGCATCTAAGTATAGTTGGGAGTTTAGAATTCTGAAACCTCAATTCTTTTGGTTAAAAAAATAAAAAAAAGAGGAAAAAAAAATGTTTCTGAGGTCTTCTTACAATAATTATGGTATGCAACAGCATCATCTTAAACTTACTTCTGTGTTTAGTAAGGAGAAGTTTAACCATACAGCAGAAGAGGTAACTTAATAACAAAGAAGCACTTTTTAACATGCTGCTTAATCATGTGAATTATGTTTAATTAATTGAATAGGGCATTACAAATAGTGTGTTACACTTTGAAAGATGATCGGTAAAACCTAGTAATGCCTAGAGAAGGATACATTGAATACTTACACTCTTGTGAACCTGGGCCCTTAGAGATTAATTAACTCAGTATGGAACTTGACCTTTGAGGGGTTTTGTATGGAGATTTCCATTTTCAGCTTTTTTAAAAATACTGCAAATTAAAACCAAATGTGGTTGTGATACATTTTATTAGAACTCTATAGTAACAGTTAAGACGCTGACCTAAACACTGATAAAAGACAAGATGTACATCTGGATCAGATAGAGAGAACTTAACCATATCTAAATGCAGAAGGAAAGATCCTCAGCTATGTGGAGCAGTTTTTCTTTATTGGTTACAATGAACACCATCTGGTGACATAGCCTATGCAAAACAAAGTGTTCAAATTTGGGTAAATGTGGGTAGTTTACACTTAAGGGTTACAGTCTTTACAACTCAAGTCATTCTAAATGGACAATGTTTTCTGCGCTCTTAATGCAAAAATTCCAGTTTGTGCCATTGCAAACATGCAGCTGCACTAAAGTCTGACTTTCAGTCATATCAGCTGAGTAATCATAACAATGCTTTCAGACAGCTTTTATTTCCTTCCTTCCTTTATTATTCTGCATTTAAAGAAGAAATTTTCTGTACATTCAGACAAATCTCAATGACAGCACCAATCATAAGTTTTTACATTTGTGCAGCTTACTATAAATAAATTATTTAAAATGATTTAAAATAGCACACAAATGCTAGCTATCTGCTTAACAACATTATCTATCTGAAACAAAGTGAAAAAGGGAGGTGAAATTCTCTGATTTTCTGCGTATGACTGACTACCAAAACTCATACTGTTAATGCGACTGTATGACTGCAGGGTTTATCCCAGTGCATGCAAAGGAGGGGTAACGTTGATGGACATGAGGGAATGTAGTCACAAAATAGCCAAATCACCTACAGGAGACTACTGCTACTGAGAAATAAGGACACACGTAGGTTCACAGCTCATCTGTTTTTCCCAGTGGGAGAGCCTGGGCCTCTGGATGTCCGTACTTCCCAGGTATGTCATTTGTACACCTACGGATTAACTGTGCAGCATGTTTAAAAAGGGCCCAGTGCTTCAAGATCATGCACACACACAAAAAGCCCAATAAAATATACTTGTTCAATCTGCCTTCCTTGAAAGTGATGCCGCCAGTGAATCCTTAAAGAAGCCACAAAGACACATACCTTTGTAAGTGGTCCATGTGTCCATTTTGTCACTGTAGGTGTGCTTGTTCTCACGGGGGAGACATGGAGGTACTTGGCAGATAGGGTAGGGGTTGTAATCTTGTCTATATGTGGAGGTCAAATCCATACTCTCATCACTCTTGACAATCTTCTCAGGTGGTTTGAATTTTGGTGGGAACACTTCATGAGCTACGTAATCTCTCCTGCAAACAATAATGTGATATAGATTATGTGAAAAGATAATGATATCTTTTATCCTAAAGACAAAATTATGTTCCTTCTCTTGGACATGCAGGAAAAACACTTTCATTTACCTCCACAGCCTAGGAAAGTTTGGATAGGATACAAATGGTTATTGAAACATACAAGCCCTTCACTTCTGAAAAAAAAGGACTCACACAGCTCTGGACAACCTCAGGCAGGCTAGGTTTCCCCTTCTCTCCACACAAAGCTATATCTGTCCTACACTGAAGTTACACCAGGGGACATAACTCATTTTAAAAGACCAATAATTATAGCCGGCTTTTATAATGTATGGAAAACATATGACAGAGGGAACAAAAGACTTCCTAGACAATGCAGTGTAGAGCAACTGAGTCAAAGAGAGAAACCTACACAACAGTTTTACACAGCAAAACTGCATGCAGCCAGAAAGTCAACTTCTTCTCATATAGCACTATAAAAGAGCCATTTTAAGACAGCAAAACAGTTTCGTAGTGTTACTTAACTCCAAGAAAACATTATCAAAATAAGATGGGGAAGAAAATAACATCACCATACAACCTTCACTAACCAGAACCTATTTTATTTCCCAGACCAAGTTCAGTC